CAGTGTCTCGGCTATCTTTCAGAATATTACCCTTTAATAATGCATTGAGATACAATCAATTGACTATCCGTAAAAGACTTAGTTAAATTTAACTTGTACTTAGTTGCTGCTCACAGGAAAATATGCAGAAGTTGGGGAAAACAGTTCATTTTATGTGTCTTGTACCAAAAAAAACCCCTTAAGCGTGTGAATAGTTTCTTCCCTCTCATCAGTAATAGTCTTGCTGGTATGTTTTCCTTCTTGTTTTTTAAACATATGGCTTATACATTCTTCTGTACTATGTAGAAAACTCTACCTCCCTTCCAGTGTTGAACTACTATCCCAGGTCTGTGATCCTAAACCATCAAACTTTGTTTGGACTTAAAAAGTTGTTAGCCTGTGGATTTTGGAATTTTTCTTATGATTGGCATGGCAGCCTTCTGTTTTGAACATAATTGTTATTGCTTTTTTTCCTAATCCCTGTATTACTTTGAACAGCTGCTTTGCCAGTAGCAACAGTTTCATGACAAATGGTGCTTGTTCTTTCTTCCCTCCTCTTTTCAGGCAGACAGAAGGACCAACAGGACCCCTCTATGCATCTTCTAATCCAGAGTATCTCAGTGCCAGTGATGGTAAGAGGCAGCCTGGTTTCCTCTGTCAGCTTTGATTTTTTTCAGAAATTGTGACCAAGTGTCTCAGCATTTGTAAAAAATTGTTGTTTCCCATAAGTGGAAGCCTAAGATAATTTGTGACAGCATTTGTTGTTCTTCACTACTCAGTTTAAATTATAGGAAGTGAGGTGTCAGGTGGAGTGTCACAGGTTTGGTCCTAAGTCTGGTAGTTTCTAACATTTCATTAATGATTTGGTTGAAAAGCTGGAGAGATTTCTCATCAGATTTGCATATGGAATAAAACTAGTGGGGTAGCTTTTACACAAAAAGACAGCAACCAAATTCAAAATGCTGGATAAATTAAAGAAATGGGGTGAAAAATAACAATGAAAATTAAGAGGGATAATTGCAGAGTTCTTTATCTGGAAAACAGAAATCCAGTGCTCAAGTATAAGATGGGGATACTTGGCTTGGTAATAACCCATCTGAAGGGGATTGGGCTTGATAGCCTACAAGTCCTTTTCAGCTCTGATTCTGTCTTGTAAAAAATGATTAAAAGGTCAGAGAAGGAAGCCAAGGAGCAAAGATATAAAAGAGGGGAAGGTAAAGAAACAAGAAAAGTAGCACCGAGAATAGAATGGGAAAGGAGAAAGGGATGGGTTTCCTGATATGTACTCAAGATCTAAGAGTTATAAACATACTGCAGAAGGAAATTTGGCCAAGAGGTACATATAGTCATCTGAGTATAAGGTAACATGAATGTGAATAAAGGTTGCTGAGTAAAGGAACACAACATTCTCTTTCCTTTTTCTTTGTACTGAAAAATAAAGTACGGCAGGATTTGGTCTCTCTTGATACGGGAGGAAGGAAAATAGGTAGTGTTCGGTTTCTGTAAAATTTGCTTGCCTGGAAGTCTTAGTTGTAATGGAGACACTTTTACAGGAGGATAACAGAGTTCTGTTTTCCTTTGTTCAACTTTCTGCAGGACACAGCAGTATGAGGGGGGAAAATGTAAATTAACATGGTAAATTCCTGTCTTAAAGGAAAACTTATTTTAATTTGGAAGAGATTTGGGGCTAGCTTGACCTGTGGGAATCCGATCTACCTTCTTATCTGGGTTTGAGATCAGCCTCCTTGTGTATTGATTCTTTTCCTACTTCTCCCTCTCCCCATAATGTACAGTTTATATCCCTGATGAATGGGAGGTCCCACGTGAGAAAATTGCACTTCTGCAAGAGTTGGGACAAGGCTCCTTCGGCATGGTGTATGAGGGAATTGCCAAAGACATTGTGAAAGGCGAGGCAGAGACACGAGTAGCGGTCAAGACGGTAAACGAGTCAGCCAGCCTGCGTGAGCGTATTGAGTTCCTCAACGAGGCTTCTGTGATGAAAGGCTTCAGCTGCCACCATGTGGTAAGAGGGAAAGGCTGCTACTATGTGTATGTGGGGGAGGGAGGGAGGTCTGTACTATTCAGCTTGCATTGAGATTTACATCTTTATCATAACTTGTCAAGTCAATTTTTTGCCATTTTTTTTCACTATGAACTATGAGACAGGTAGTACCATGAGTTTTTGGTTGGAATAAGAAATGTCTGAACTCTGGAGTTGCTGTAGTTCTAGGATGAAGAACTACATCAGATAGATACTTTGTGTCGAGAACATTCTTAGTTAAATTATTTAAAATCATAGCAAGGAAGGGAAAGGCTCCTGAATGCTTAGAACTTTGGAGAACCACAGCAATACTTAGAAGGGGCCAGTGGGTGTTCTTTTCCGTAGAAAATAACAAAAGCCCTCTTTGATTTGAAAAACATTCCAAGATTCTCTTTTCCTCTTGGAATATTATCTCCCTCCCCCCCCCCCGCCTCCCTCTGTTATGGCCCACCCACTCAACACTCTGGGCAGCTAACAGTAAATTAAAAATAATAAACAAAGATAATTTTAAAACAGCACATCATGCCTGGGATGACTAAAAAAAAGATACAATCACAGCACCAAGACAGGCTTACTCATGAGCCTGGCCCAGTGCCCAAGTGAAGAACCAGATCTTTAGCACCTTGTAAAAGGCTATCAGGGGCCATTCAGGGCCATCTGAATTTCTGGGGATATACTGTTTCATAGGGCAGGCACCATGACAGAGAAGACACACTTCCTGGGTCCCTTTAGATGACATTGTTTAATGTAGGAAACCTGGAGCATGCCTACCCTGTCAGACCATATGGCACAAGCAGAAATAATAATGGAAATAGGCAGTCCCATAAATAAGCTGTGCCATACCTATAAAGACTTTGATCAGCACCTTGAATTGTACCTAGAAGCCCACTGGAATCTGGTGCAGCTCACTGAGTAGAGATGTTACCTGGAAACATTAAGGTACACCCATAACTACCTGTGCCACAGCATTCTGGACTAGCCATAGTTTCTCAGTGATCTTCAAGGGCAGCCCCATGTAGAGCAAATTGCAGTAATCCAAAAGAGAAGTGACCAAAGCATGAGTGACAATGCGTAGGGACTCCCAGTATAGGAACAGCCATAATTGGCATAAAAGATGGATCTGTACAAAAGCTGTCCTAGCCATGGCTGCTGCATACTCCTGAAGCAGGAGAGGAATCTAGGAAGACCTGCAAGTTGCATACCTACCATCTCTGTTTGGGCAGAGATGGTAGGTTCCCAGATCTGGGTGGTCCCCAAACCCACAGTCACCGTCTTGCTAGGGTTTAGATGAAGCCTGTTTCTTCCCGTCCAAAACCCCTCAGCCTTCAGATACTGTGAAAGAACCTTGATGGCATAATTGTTTTGGCTCAGATACAGATGTATAATAGGGTGTCCTCAGCATACTGATGATATCTCATCCCGTGCCAGCAGCCTCATATAATGTTAAATAGGAGTGGAGATGCAGTGGAGCCCTGTGGAAGCCCACAAAGCAGAAATTTATGCCTGGACCTGTCTTCCCCTACCAACACCAACTGCAGATGGCCCCAGAGGAAGGAGGAGAACTTGCACCATCTTGCCTTCCACGCCTAACTCCTGAATCAGTCCAGAAGGATATTACAGCATGACTGATGGTATTGAAAGTTGCTGAGAAATTAAGGAGGACCAGGATGGATGCACTACTGCCATCTTGGTCCTTCCAGAGGTCATTATAGGTGCAATCAATGCCATTTTAGTACTATAACCAAGTCTGAACTCTGACTGAAAGGGGTCCAAATAATCCACTTCATCCAGGGCCCTCTGAAGCTGCAGCCCAACCACCTTCTCAACAGCTTTCCCCTAAAAGGAAAGCTCAGAGGCAGGATGAAAGTTTCTACTACTGTTGGGTCCAGGGATGGTTTTCTAGCCTGTGATTATACTTCTAAGTTATTGCTGGAATTACTGGGAGGGGATTGAATTTTTTTCTTACTATGTCTTAAAACTGGCCTTCCTTTCTTCTGCTTTTTTCATTAGGTTCGTCTCTTAGGAGTAGTATCAAAAGGGCAGCCAACACTAGTAGTTATGGAGCTGATGGCACATGGAGACCTGAAAAGTTATTTGAGGTCTTTGCGGCCAGATGCAGAGGTAAGAGCTTGGCATGTGACTGTATTTGTGTACAGAAAGGAGGAGATGGGAATGATGAAAAGGAGATTGGGTTGTATCCCAGTGACTAATTATAGCTTTGGCTTGGTTCTCAGAATAACCCTGGCCGCCCACCTCCAACGCTCCAAGAGATGATTCAAATGGCTGCTGAGATTGCTGATGGCATGGCTTATCTGAATGCCAAGAAATTTGTCCACAGAGATTTGGCAGCACGAAACTGTATGGTGGCTGAAGATTTCACAGTCAAAATAGGAGGTATGGTCACCTTCCAGAATGCTCAGGCTGTTATTGGAAACAATGGATCGCCTTTTGGTGGCTCTTAATTGGATTAAGCAGGATTACTGAATCAGTGAATTAATAAACAGCTTCCAGAGCAACTTGCAGCTAAGAAATGAGAAAATTCTTCTTGGGAATTCAGCCTCTTTCCCATGTTATTGCTTGAGGGTGTGGTTGTTTTTCAAATTAATATTTTATGGCAACATTCTTTTTGCTTCAGACTTTGGCATGACCAGAGATATCTACGAGACAGACTACTACCGCAAAGGAGGAAAGGGTCTGCTGCCTGTGCGATGGATGGCTCCAGAGTCATTGAAGGATGGTGTCTTCACAGCCTATTCAGATGTGTGGTAAGTAGATACCAGTTGCTTCAAGTCAGTCCGCCAGTCCTAATCCTGTTGCTATCCTCTCTCTTTTGGCTAGACGCTTGAATTTAACTAGAGTAGGAAAAAAGGAGAGATCCATTGATTCTTGCCTGTGACCAAGATGGCAAAATAGGGCTACATTCTTCTTGTTTGGTTCAGCTTCTTTACTTGCACTCCTTTCAACTGTTCTGTGGGTGGCAGGAAGAATCTCTTCAGCATCTAGCATTCCTTTCTTCCTCTTTCCTGCAGGTCTTTTGGCGTTGTCCTTTGGGAGATCAGCAGTTTAGCAGAACAGCCTTACCAAGGACTCTCCAATGAGCAGGTCCTCAAGTTTGTCATGGATGGGGGTTGCCTTGAATGGCCAGAAAACTGTGCAGAGAGACTGTAAGTATCAGGAGTCAAAGTCTGTTTTTGCATAAGTATATGGGCTAGGGAAGATGGACAGTAGTCATCCTGTCTTAAGGGAATACACGTCCAGTGTCTAGCTGCAGATAGATTCAAGGGCTATGTAATGGTATGTGGTAATGACCTGGGGAACAGGGCAAAGAGACACAGCCAAAGGAACAGTTAGATAAAAGACAGTTTAGCCCTCAGCAGGAATGTGAACAGGGCAAGGGGCTCAGAAGAGACCCTCCCTAGTTTCTTCAGCTGTAAAGGGGATGGGGGGAGAAATGTACTTGCAAGACTCTGTTAATGTAACCTTACAATAAAGTACAATTAGTTTATTTGGCTGTGTTTCCTGTCTGGTCTACCTTGCAAGGCTGACAGGCTGGCCAACAACAAAGCATCTGCTCTTACTGGGCTGTAGGGTTATTTTTCCATGCCAGTGTGAGAAGGAGTTGCATCAGGTTTCTTGGTGGTCTAAATAGAGAAGTGAGAAAAGGTTGTGTGCAAATTCCTCCTTTGCAACATGACAGTTCAATAGAGTGAGAGAGAGAGAGAGAGAGACCTCTGCTCAAGTGATGAAGCCTTTATCTTTTAATTTGGGCTGGAAGCAAGGACCTGAAACAGTTTGCTACCAAGCTGGACAAAGGCTGACTAGTTTGCTTGCAATTCCAGCCACAACCTCATGCAGATGTGTTGGCAATACAATCCCAAGATGCGCCCCTCCTTCATCGAGATCATTGAAATGCTGAAGGATGATCTTCACCTGACTTTCCGAGAAGTCTCGTTTTTCTACAGTGAGGAGAATAAGCCACCGGAGACAGAAGAGTATGAGCTGGACTTTGAAAACATGGAGAGCATCCCTCTTGACCCAGCCTCTTACTCTCAGCGGGATGAGATCCTAGGGCGGGACAATGGGCCCTCTCTAGGGTTCAAAGGGAACTATGAGGAGCACATCCCTTACACTCACATGAATGGGGGCAAGAAGAATGGCCGCATCCTCTCCATGCCTCACTCAAGCCCATCCTAATAGCTCCTTTGGCTTTTCCTCATTATACAAATCTCAGGACTTGCAGTATTGCTGACACAGCATTTGAGACACACAGACTCACTTTCTATTCAGATTTTTAATCATCAAAGTATAATGACTGTTTGGGATAGGGGAGGGTGTCTTGTGTGTTTCTGTTCTCTTCTTTTTTGGTGCAACAATTCACTTGCTGTCAGCGGACTTTATCTGTGAAACAAATGGACAATTCTGTGGCTGCTGATCTCCTCATGCAACTCTGATTTTAAGATAGGAAGTGATTTCACACAATGATGTTGGAAAGAAGAACTTCCATCTACCCTTGTTCTGAGCAGAGGAACTGTGGGTTCTCTTTACTACTGCAGGGAAGGGAGCCTTAGACTGGATCGTCCCCAAGCAGAACCTGAGGCTCTTCTCTTCTGCCAGCCTCTTTGGAGAGGCTCTTTTGTGATTTTAGCATTTTTTAAGGCTGAAGGATCTTCAGGATGTGTGGAATATGGTCTGTTTTTTCCCTTTGATTTGACCAACAGCTGCTGCTTTTCTTCTTAATGGATTAACTAGTACGTGTGCCCTGAATGTGTATGTGTGTGTATGGAGGTATATGTGAAAACGGATAAGTCCTTTTGTACATAATAGTTTTATCTAACCACAGAGGTGAGAGAGTGTCACTGTCCTTCCTGCCTGGCCCTAATTCCTCTGACATGAATGAATTTTGAATACATTATTTTTATACTGAAGAACTCTTGGGGGATTGGATCTCCTCTGCCATTCAGCAAAACGAGGTAGCCAAAGTGGTAGCCAATATTCTGTTTAGGGTTTTGTGAGACGTTGCAAGACTAAACAAGGCAAAGCAAGCCAAATTCCCTCCCCTCCCCTCCTTACCAACCTGCCTCATGACTCTAGAGCTCTGTCTGGTTAGCATTGCGTGTATATGTTTGTTGTGACATATTTAAATCATAGATAGTGAACCACCGTATAAATTATTGACACCTTCCTTGACCTGTTTTGTTTTTTTGTTTTGGTTTAGCTTTTGCCCTTTCAAGGGGAAAAGAGGTTAGGGGCTTGCTTGTTTGGTCTTTAAGGGGCCTTAAGTGTGTAAGCTGATTCTGGCAAGTTAAGTGCTAGGAGGTATAGTGCACAAACCTGTACTTTAATATTCAAATAATAGAGTGGCGTGTGCATATTAATTTTTCAAGGTATTTTACAAACCCACCGTTATGCAAATTCTGAAACAGTTGGTCACCAGTGGTGAAATCGTAAGCCTTAGCAGCTCTGACGGAGGTCTCTTAGCTCAGAAAGTTACCTGGAGACTGCCTCCATTTTGTTGGTCTCTGTTACTCTTCTCCTTCCTAGTTGGTGGGGGTCTTTCTAGTATGTGCTTAGACCAGAGAAGAGCTACTTAATCTCTCAACTAGAAGATGTTCTAACTAAGGGAGAAAAAAGAATCAAAGCCAGCTCCTTCTGCTTACATGGAACAAAGTTATCGTGTAAGTTGGGCTCAGGAGCCTCCATGCACAGTCTTTTGAGTCAATGGTTGTATTTTTTTCCTTGGCTTTCTCCTGCCGTTTCTGCTTAGTAAGCACAGCATAAGATGGGGCCAGAGAGTAAACATCCAGTGGCACACTGTCCACCCACAATTCACTGAGGTTTCTTGCACACCTTTCAGTACAATGAACAGAAGCAATGCAGGCACCTTCCTCAGAACTGCAGTCAAGCTTCTATGGAAGAACTGTCTGGAAGAAAGTAGGGGTTTCTGAGGTTTATCTAGTCCAGCATCTTGTTGTTCCAGCAATGGTCAACCAGTGCCCAAGTTGGTAACCCCCAAGGAAGGGCAGCCTTGCTGGTCCCAAAACAACTGATGCTCAACAATTACTTCTGGAGGAAATGGGGTTTTGAGGCCCTGTACTGTAGTCCAGTAAGAATTTATCTTGTCCACTTTTAAAATCCCTTAGGCCCAAAGGCTGTTAGAAGACGAATTCTAAAAAGGGAAGCAGAGAGGGATGGCATATCTTTAAAGTTTACCAGTTAGAAACAACAATGTAATCTTTCTACACATGTGCCATTGCTACCTTTGTTTTTGTACTCTCCATCAATGTAGATTATGTATTTCAGTCCCCATCAGTACAGATTATGTGTTTGTAAGTGCTTCTCTCTAGGTTCTAGAGTTCCGAAGTAGCTTCTGAGTTTAGTTTTCTGATAATGTCTCCCCAGCCTCCAGTGCACTTTAACCTTTTTGTTGCCTGCCCATGCCTTCCCCCACTCTTCCCCATAAGTACGTGGGTTCTGTCTTAGTCATTTATATCTCTGAAGTTCCAACTTCACATTTCAAGTGCTCTTCAGTGCAAGATGAATCAGTTCATCTGCTGAAATAGGACCTCACCTGAAGCTTTCTTTATCTCAGTTTTCCTGCGTTTTACATAAGCTTTTAATTTTTGTTCCATATAATGTGAATTTTTATGAAAAAAAAAACACCAAAAGGATCGTGTTATCATTATGAAAAAGCAAATTTTAGGGGTTTGGGTTTCAATCTATGTCAAAACTTAAACTCTTGAACTTGTCAGTGTTTTTCATCTAAGCCAGTGTTGTCCAAACTTGGCCACTTTAAGATGAGTGGACTTCATGGCTGGCTGGGG